TACTGTAAGAAACCAAAAGAGACCTGCATAAGTGGAAAAACATACCTTGCTCATGGATAGGAAGACTCAACATTGTGAAAATGTCAATTCTACCCAAAGTGATCTACAGATACAATGCAATCCCGATCCAAATTCCAATAGCATTTTTTAAGGAGCTGGAGAAACAAATCACCAACTTCATATCGAAAGGGAAGAGGCCCCGAATAAGTAAAGCATTACTCAAGAAGAAGAACAAAGTGGGAGGCCTCCCGCTACCTGATTTTGGAACCTATTATACTGCCACGGTAGTCAAAACAGCCTGGCACCAGTACAACAACAGACACATAGACCAATGAAACAGAATTGAGAATCCAGGCATAAATTCATCCACCTATGAGCAGCTGATATTTGACAAAGGCCAAAAGCCCGTCAATTAGGGAAAAGACAGTCTCTTTAACAAACGGTGCTGGCATAACTGGCTATCCATCTGCAAAACACTGAAACAAGACCCATACCTCACACCATACACAAAAACTAACGCAAATGGATCAAAGACCTAAATATAAAACCTAAAAATGATAAAGATCACAGAAGAAAAAAAAAAAAGGACGTCACTAGGAGCCCTAATACATGGCATAAACAGAATACAAACCATAAGTAATAATGTACAAGCACCAGAAGAGAAACTAGATAACTGGGGGGAGCTCCTAAAAATCAAATACTTAGGCTCATCAAAAGACTTCACCAAAAGAGTCAAAAGACAACCTGCAGACTGGGAAAAATCCAATCAGCATCTAATCTCTAAAATCTACAAGATTCTGCAAAACCTTAACAAAAAGAAAAATAACTCAATTAAAAAATGGGAAAAGCATATGAACACGCACTTCGCCAAAGAAGACATTCAGGCGACTAACAGACACATGAGGAAATGCTCACAATCATTAGCCATTAGAGAAATGCAATCAAAGCTACAATGAGATACCATCTCACCCCAGCAAGGCTAGTATTAATCCAAAAAACACAAAATAATAAATGTTGGAGAGGTTGTGGAGAGACTGGAACACTTCTATGCTGTTGGTGGGAATGTAAAATGGTACAACCACTTTGGAAATTGATTTGGTGCTTCCTTAAAAAGCTAGAAATAGAAGTATCATATGACCCAGCAATCTCACTCCTTGGAATATATCCTAGAAAAATAAGAGCGGTCACACAAATAGATATTTGTTCATTGCAGCACTGTTTACGATAGCAGAAAAATAGAAACAACCTAGGTGCCCATGAATGGACGAATGGAGAAACAAATTATGGTACACTCACATAATGGAATATTATGCAATCATAAAGAACAACGATGAATTTGTGAAGCATCTTATAACATGGAGGAATCTGGAAGGCATTATTCTGAGTGAATTTAGTCAGTCACAAAGGACAAATATTGTATAAGACCACTATTATAAGAACTCAAGAAAAGGTTTAAACTCAGAAGAAAACATTCTTTGATGGTTACAAGGGTGGGGAGGGAGAGGGTTATTCACCAACTAGACAGTAGACAAGAATTATCTTAGGTGAAGGGAAGGACAGCACACAGTGCAGGGGAAGTAAGCACAACTGGACTAAACCGAAAGCTAAGAAGTTTCCTAAACATAACCAAACACTTTGAGGGACAGAATAGTAGGGGCATGGGTCTGGGGACCATGGTTTCAGGGGACATCTAGGTCAACCGGCATAACAAAGTTTATTAAGAAAATGGTGTGCATCCCACCTTGGTAAGTGGCGTCTGGGGTCTTAAAAGCTAGCATCAATTGGTTCCAACTCACCCGGAGTAAAGGAGAATGAAGAACACCAAAGACACGAGGAAAATATTAGCACAAGAGACAGAAATGGCCACATAAACCAGAGACTCCTTCAGCCTGAGGTCAGAAGAACTAGATGGTGCCTGGCTACCACCAATGACCGCCCTGACAGGAAACACAACAGAGAGTCCCTGATAGAGCAGGAGAAAAGGGGGATACAGAACTCAAGTTCTAATAAAAAGACCAGACTTAATGGTCTGACTGAGACTGGAGGGACCCTAGAAGACATGGACCCCGGACTCTCTGTCAGCTCAAAACTAAAACCATTCCTGAGTCTAACTCTTCAGACAAAGATTAGACTGGAGTATGGGACATAAAATGATACTTGTGAAGAGTGTGCTTCTTAGTTCAAGTAGATACATGAGACTAAATGGGCAGCTCCTGTCCAGAGGTGAGATGAAAAGGCAGAGAGGTCAGGAGACGGTTGAATGAACACGGGAAATCCGGGGTGGAAAGGAGGAGTGTGCTGTCACAGTATAGGGAGAGCCACTAGGGTCACATAACAGTGTGTGTATACATTTTTGTATGAGA